TGACAGTTCCTCTGTTACTGAGCCAGGCACCAAGCTGTTACGAGTCTACTTGCCGCCAATTGCAGAAAATGAATTGGGTGAGTATTTTCTATCTGTTATTTGTCAAGTTGGCCCTAATGGTTCGCCGAACAGGGTGCATCGTTAGATCGAACATGCACGATTTTTCCGTGTCAATAGATAGACTATTTTTGTTTGAAAATCCTATTGCGGAATGGTTCACTCACATACGTGGTCTCAGCTGAGTAACTATGATGCCCATCTAATCGGCGGGTATTCAGAAAGCAGCAGTGCCCTTCATCAGCGGGAGGGGCACTTTCTATCACTCCCGAGGCGATTTCTGGGGTCTTGTGGTTCTAAAAACCCTGGGTTTCTAGGTTTAATAATGGAATGATATTTCACGATTCGTAACAGTTCTCCTTTATGTAAACTGCTTCCGTTCAGTTTCTAAGGTAGCAAGTTTCCACACTTGTAAATCTGCATGTCGTAACATCTATCTGAATGTATCACTACCCAGAAATAGTCTGTTTCAATCACTAACCGATCTGAAAGAATCGACTTAGACTCACGTGGTGAATCACGAAAAATTGGGTTAGTCAATACGACTTAGGAAGTGAACTGCAAAGAGAAAGAGAATTTCGGTGACGCTTTTATTCGTGTGTGTGTGTGTGCTCGGATAAAAGGGTGGGAGTAAAAATCTAATGCGCCGTACTTCAAATATTAGTCTAAGGAAAAGATTCGGTTATTTATTGCGAAATACTAGAGCAGATTTTGTTTTCATCATGCCCTTGAATCAAATCGTTCACTGACATGTATTTGTCCGTCCGCCTCAGTAAATCTTTTTCTCCCTCCTGCTTTTGGTGATTTTAGTGCAGCGTTGCTTGTCAAGCCTGCATCAATGTCTACCGCACGATGTGAGTTTGCAGTTATTCTCCCGATGGTATATTGTTTCAAATGCTCCCGGTAGTCAAACCTCCACTAGCTTTCCGGTGGCTGTTGGCATCGATTGCAACGGACACCCAGCGTTTCACGGGCCCAAAGACTGGGTGCGATTTGCACTTTTTATTCTCGATGTTTGTGGTATCAGAGTGTCCTCTGATGACACAAACGTGACCGATCAAAACGACAGGACGTTATGGCCCCAGGGTAAGCACCACATATCTTTTTTCCCCACCATCATTGGTTGTTCAAAGCGCTGGTAGATGGGTCGTAATTTTTACCATTCCCCATTTCCATAGTAGTTTATCTAACGAAGGAATTGTGCATTATAGTTTTTATTTGCGTGCTTCTTGGTTGGTGCTCGTTGAGCATGTTTTATTTTGGCATTTCAAGGACCTAGTTATTGATCCATTGGACTAAGTTACGCCCGGCCTAAATGATACCTGTCCTATTGGGGTTTAATCTGGTTCACTCTCACAAGTTCTTTGGTTTAGGATGCTGTTTCTCTCGATCGTTCACTCCGTTCACCCACGGGTCACAGTGGTTAAGCGATATAAACGATCGTCACATGGACCAGTAGATTTTGCGGTTGAATCCCACCACCACCACCACTGTCTAACTTTCCCATTTGCGTGACAGCCTTTTGATTACCGAATTCACCGTTCATTAAATTTTAGTCGTAAAGTTATGTATCGTTTCCAGTCTCTAGTGTCCCATTGGGCCCTACACCCCTACCAATCGTTATTTAAATTTAGATTGTTCACACCGTACCAAGCGGTGTCGCTCTTCGGCGGGTCAACCTTGTGACACAGATTGGGATAATCTATGTCGCGACAAATCATTGGACCGCACGGATCCCACACTCTTGACATCAACCACCACCACTGCCACTTCATCAGCTCATCCGACCTCGGTCATTCGGTTCCGCTACTCGGGCCGCACTGATACTACCAGCCAGGTAGTGTTATCACACTTGCCAACGATTCTGTGCTGTTTCCACTTACTTTACGAGGTAAGTTCATCTAGATGTTCTCAGTTTTAATTGTTTTGAGGCATGTTACCTTTCGTCTTTGAGTCTCGCATGAGCCAAGTACCTGATGCGTTTTCATTCCCACGTATTTCTTGTCAATCTTTCAAATGATGCCAGTGTCTAAACGGGTTAGTTGCTTGTCAGCTAGTCCACGACTCGTTGAGGCAGACGGTGTACAGTAGATCACTCTTCCTCATGATGTCTCCTTTCTACTATCCAAATGTAAAATCGAATAATCGTAGTTGATTGTCTTCGTTCGCTGCCCATTCGCTTTTTTGCGATATACATTATTTATACATTTATACATTGTTATACATTGTTTTCTGTTTACCTTCCAATTTTCTCATTCACTTATTTCAATAGTGATAGTTTAGTGAAGCCGTTTTCACATCCACTGTGTTCAATGAATGCGTCATCCTGAATGCCACTCAGCTTATAGATCTATTTTATTTTTGTTTCACCAGGAATTGAGTTTGAATTGCATCCTGGCCTCGAGTTTACGATCGCTTGCTGAACTCAACTTGGTCCTCAGTCGGTAGGTTGCACAAAACCATTTGTATCCAATAATGTGTTGCGCATGCGAATATTTTATAAAACAGTGGTTATTGAACGATAGCAGTGTACAGTGTACAGCTCCGGCTTGCAACTCCAGCGAAGACGAGCTGACTGTCGTGTGTTTCTTGTTTACATTTCCTGATTGCTTTTTAAACGAGTTCTTTCAATTCGCTGACTAGTTTCAGTCTCCAGCCAAAATACATATGTAGCTGGATAAGTTGATAATATCAGACACGAATTAGATTGATTGATCGGTCTATTTGAAAGGACGTCGGAATATACGTCTATTCTCATCTCTCGAGCAGTGTAATTTATTGGGGCAGGTGTTAGTCTATAGATGATACAGTACCTAAATAGTCAAGTTTGAGTTGTGCCATACTTGATAAGACTCGTGAACATATCAGATCATTTTCAATCACAGTTCCATCTTTATCAGCTTTTGTCAAGTTCCCCGCCTGGCTCACATCTTGTTCCAAACCAAACTTAATGCGGTAACAAATTAAAGTATAAACCTTCCGGATAACAGATCAAGAAAACCCACTAGTTGTAACTCAAGAAAGTAGTTCCAAGTATACCAGCAGTGAGATATAAACTCGCATGCCGCCCCTTACTCACTAAAGCAAGAGGTTTGCTATGTGCTTCTCGCACTTTGCTTTTCGACAACCCCCCCCCTCACCTGGTGATGGTTCATCTAATCTGTTTGACTGCACGCAATTCGTGTTAGTCGTTTATTTTCAAATCATCTTGTGGATGGTTTATTGAACCAGAGAAAGGCTACACTCATATTTAGCTGTAAAAACACATCACCCCACTTGGGCGAGAATCACGGACGGTCACGCCTGCCACTGTGATGGTCAAGCGGTTAGGGTTATACTCACAGACCCGGAGGTGTGTTGGAATCGCGTCACATTTACTCATCTTTCTCACAGCTGTATATCTTCAGTTAAATTATGCTTGGATGCAGTGTTCGGAAAATCAACTACGCACTTATATATTCAGCAATTTAGAAGCAATAAAAATGATTGATGGTATTTTAAATGCCAGTAGTTTTGCCTGACTGTGAAATGGAATAAGAGATCTTCCCACCGAATGTTATGACGTGAAAGAGTGAGGTCTGCTGTCAAGTGTGCGAGTGGTTATGGTAAGTCTAGGGGCTTTGGTCAGTCATTATGCAGAGCATGTTTATCTTAGATTTCAATCACTGTTTGTTACGCATATATATTTGTGACTTTTTGCTGTGTGCACGGTGTCATTTGGCCTCTCCTATGTCTTACTTTTCCAGGCTGTTGAATCTACCTTCCTACGAAGCCTACTATAATTTGATCTGGCCCAATCTTTCAGTTGACACGTTGCCTTTGAACACCACACCCGGTCAGCTGATGTGGCCGTCATACATGCCTATCCAGACGGTGCCTTGTCTGCTAANTGCCGGTCGGAGCTGAAGCTTGTCTGTCAGCGTATGTGCATCTCGAAGGTGTAAATGACCTGGCAACTGCACTGGCTGGTATGGTTCTTGCTGCAGTTTACGCCGAATCTCGCGCGACAATCGACGGTGTAGACTCCTTGGAAGATGTTCGACATTGGTTGACCGTTTGGCAAACGCACATTTGCTCTCCCAACTCGTGCAACTCAGGAGAGGCAGTGCACAGTACAGGTACAACCATTGTGTTCATCATTTGGTTTGTTTGTGCTTATGTGGATGTCCAACAAGAAAAATAAGATCATAAATTCGTTCGTTTGCCNTTGCCATATTCAGGAATCCTCGTATGTGTTTCACAAGCACGCTATTTCTAGTAAAAATTTGGTGGTCGATAGAAGCCCGTGTTGACCGGTTTCGTTCATTGTTCCCAATAGTACACCCCGCGACAAAAGTATTGCACTTCCCTGGATTTTTGGATCTCCTTCGCTCCAACGTGCACGATCACCAATTTTGGAAATGAAGAACCGAAATTCAAAATTTTGGCATATTTTGTTTAGTTTTAACGAAATTATGTCGAAAAACAGACCTCACCGCTACCAAACTATTGCACTCCCCCATGGACTTCGCATTCAACTCGGTCTTAAAATGGGTGCGATTGACATCCCGAGTTTGTACCTCGGTATGGCAACCGGCAGCCGTGGTGAGTCAGCGGTTGACAAGCTGATGTAAGCTACGGTCATGCTTACGTCACTCCCAATGACCTTGGAAGAACAAAGACCTCCAAGTGGGTCACCAACAACCATTGCCAACCATGGCGTGATCCTAATAAAACAGAAATCCGGAATTGATGCCTTTCGAGAGATCACTGTAAGCAAACGTGAAATAGCCAAACGGTGTAATAGGTTTTGATCATACTGTCACACGATTTTTGAAGCGAAAACAGCTAACAGCCAGCAATAATCAGATTGGACACCAAATACAGCTCTTGGGTAAAGGTAATGAGAGGCTGCTGCGCATGGTGTCAAACTTCGTTGTTCATGCACTGGCGATGAAAGCGGTGCTTGAGTTGAACGGTACAACGAAAACTTGAAGCGGTTCCTTGGATGAGATACAAAAAAGGACAAGGCATATAGCTCTAACAACTTTACAAGCAGAAAGATCCTTATGTAACATGGAAAAATGAATGCAGTCGTCCACTGTAGCGACCGAAATAAATCTACTGTAGACGGATTCAACGTGTGAAACCACTACTGGTATGATCTGTTCAGGAGGGTTACTTGAGTAAGCAAATTAGTGATCGAGACTCCCTGATGGTATGGGGCGCCTTATCAAGCAACGGCCCAACCGATTTCGCCATGCTACATGGGGTGCAAGATTCTAATGCACATATTCGTACATCGGAGCGACACCTTATGTTGCTAATGGCATCCATTGAACATCCAGAAGCCATTTCCCGGTAGGATATCACCGTAGTTCGTTATTCGTGTTTAACAAAATCTCGGTTATTATGGTATAGTATCAAAACAGTGACATGGCCTGCGTACAGCCCAGATGTGAACCCATCAGAAAACATTTGGGCTATTCCGACCCCGAAGGTGCACTAAAAATCCAGTTTACATCACAAAACATGAATCAGAGGCACTGCTCATTGGGGAGTAGACTAATGTTGACACAGACATAATTTGAAATCTTATACAAAGTGGTAAGCAGGCTTCAGTAGGTCACTCCGTGGGAGATGCAGTAATTCATTCACGGTGGAAGTTGTTTTTTTGACATTTTCGTTAAAACTAAACAATATGTTGAAATCTCGTTTTTCGGTCTTTTATTCGTTTTCCGTTTAGATTGTTAAATGCGGTGATAATCATACATATGAGAGCGGAGGTAATAAAAAAATCTGCAGAGGGCGGAGGTGCAATAATTTTGTCGCGGGCCTTTCCCAAGGCCTTCCAACGCCTTGTGCTTTGGTTTTTTCGTTCGTCGTGGCTCAGACATGCAGATTTCCTCAATAATCATGAGCAAGATGCCCAAGATTTTCGGTCAGATCGGTTCCATCCATGGTTCTGGCGTGATTAAGTCTCCAAATTATTGTGGTAACATACTTAAAAAATTATCATTTAGTTCCGGCTAGACTGCTAAACTTCCTGGGATCTCTAAAACTGCATTTTGCATGATCGGGAGAGCCAAGGTACATATGCTATTATCGTGTGTACCAAATTCTTTAAATTGTTTTTCTTTCTTGCTCTAGTTTTCTTAACTTCCCAAGTAATTTTTAAATTAGTTGGCTATATATTTAAATATCGCGTTTGATTTAGTTCTTTCGACTCCCTAGGTTCTGTGGTACTATGGCTCGTCTTTGGATTAAATTTACTCAGTGGTAGCTTGTTGATAATTACATACGAAATACATTCCTGTTACCAGTTGCTTGCAGAAATCCGGCGGTTGTTTCGTAAGTAGCCCCTCTTGCGCATTATCGCGATAATTCGTTGTTGGCTGTGTACATTTTACCCGCTACTATATGCATTTAGAAATAAGAAAGAAAGGTTGAGGACAATTGGTGAGTTAACTGTATTCTGTTTCGCTGAACGGTGATAACGATAGAATTAATGGCGTCTATTCAAGAAAAGTTTGCTACAGATCTGAAAATAAGGCAGACAACACTTGAATTTTCTCGTGTAAATTTTCTCCTTTGCAGTCGACTTGACATTGCTATTAGACGGGGTTTCCGGGGTGGATCTGAAGAAGTTCATGGATCACCGTCTGCCACCACTCCCCAAAGCATTTGTACAGTGCATGCTCACTTTATCTGAGATGCGTATCCGTGAGGAGACCAGGGTTCTCGCGAACACAAGCATGACCGTCACGGATCAGTCGCACAGCATTCAACAGGCTGCCGAATCACAACACGCGGCACTACTGTTTCTTAGCTATTTGGGTGAAACGAGTCTGCTTTGCGTCCGAGGTGGTCTAACCAACCATCTTCGTTCTTTGCCTCGCTGTTTTTCCACCGTGCTTCGTATACTGCTCAGTCGTTGTCAGGCTAATCCGCCACCGAATTGCACTCCAAGAATGTACAATCTGATGGGTGAGTGCATTTGAACTCGTCCTGTTTTTCTGTTTTCTCGGCAATCTGCCATTTGTGTCAAACTTTTGTGTGCTCAACACAGCTCTTTTTCGCATCACGCCGACTATGTCGCTGCAATTCTTGACGACACACGAAACTTGTGTTTGTATCCTCATCACCGTAGAAGTCCTGTTTGCTCGGATTAGTACATAGATAGGTTTACGTAAGCCCACTTTGCTTTACTTAGTTGAAATGCACCATGTTTCATATGAGGGCAAGTTTTCAGCTTTCTCTATGGAATTTTCTGATAGATCATGTTCATCTCAGATCTCGGAAGAGACAGGTAGTCGATCCTTCCGTACACTTTTCTTGATAATGGTAATCTTGATTGTAATAATCACCATTACATGCATGTGTATCACCGATAAACTGGGAAGCTGGTTTACTCGTCCCGAGTTCCTCTCAATGTCCCTTACTGACCTGATTCAAAAACTTTTGCTACGCAACTCCTGCTCATTATCTTCTTGTGGTGGAGATACTTTAAGTGAAATATGAGGTCTTATAGTCGGTTGGTGGTCCACCGACAGCTAGCTCGTCTGAGGGAGTTGGTAAACCCTGATTCTAATCACCCATCAGGAACCGTATGGTCTATCCCCGAGATTACTGTATATACGTACGATCAACGGGTAATCGGATCTGTTGGACACTCAGTATATTAGCCTCGTTAGAAGATAAACCATCCGACAGATTGTATACTGGTCCTCAGTGGATCGCGTAATCGAAACCCTGCCCCACCGCTGTGTTATTTGGACTATTGTGTTGAAAGCTAGGTTTTGAGGTCAATCAAGTCAGCCTCCTGTCCTGGCCTGGGGTGACCGAATAGTGCAACCGCGGATAACATTGACAGACGGGAAACAAAATCCAACATCCTCCTCGCCTGTCGTCGTAAAGATTTCCCTTCTTTTATACTTTTAAACAGAATTTGAGTACATATGACTTATATTTTGTTCATGTCGTCTTATTATCAAGTCGTAATTACTGATGTCGTACCACTTCACCGACCCCAATGACCGAGTCAGTGGGAGCGTTTTTACGCCATTTATTCAGAATTCTGTAAGTGCTAAATGCTGTGTATTTGTATCGTGTTTTGAGTTCATTTATTTGTCGGTTTTCTCTTTTTTATTCCTTCATTTATCACTTGTTTTACCGCTTCCAATGCATGTATACAATTCGGCACGTCATGGGGGAATCAGTGTTTTTCCATCTATTGATTTACTTGATAAATTCCTAGCGACTGTTTGCAAACTGTTCAATTAGGCCAGATCCTTGTGTCACTGTGCTCATTCTAAATCCACCACAACTCCATAGGTCGAAGTGATCTAGCTAGACAGGCCGAAATGACAGCAACTACAAGATCATCTCGTCATTCAGGGACAGCACAGATTCCGCGTGGACCTCTGTTCCAACAACCTTTATTGTCCGATAAAAATACGACCCAAGATGACACGAACATGCTGACCTGCGGTACGGTAAATCGACCGGGGCCACAGGACTACAGCTCATCGTGGACCACGGCTGAGCGCTGGGCAAATTTAGTCAAGCCGTTCAGACCGGCACCGTCAAATGAGAAACCGAAGACTTCTCTGAACGGTCGACATGCTTTACTTCGTTGTCTGGAAAGTAGTCCCGCATGTCAAGTTGCATTCAAAGTAAGTTGTTCGGCTTCTTGTGTGCACCAATTACCCTTATCCCACTTTCCTCGAGGTCAAAAGCACCGCTCACTGTAATGTGAACCCCTTTTTTCTGAGATCCTTAGCATTTAAAATCAATGAATATATAAGAACAACACCTCGGACATGTGTACTTTTCTAGGGTGTTTTTCCGTTCGTAGATTTTATGGAGCTGAGAAAAGTCATGCTGGCAATTCATCTAAAACAGGAGCGGCAGTGGTATATCAAGTGGAATTCGTGTTAAGAACCTCAATGCATTTGATCATAAATCGATAAGATGGCAGTAATTGAGATCTTTTGTTGTTGCTAAATTGGAATACATTCTAAGCTTCAGACACGTTTCTCAAGGTTCACATAAGGTGACATACCTTCATTGAACACTGCATAGAGTTATTGTGGAAAATGCGTAATATTGGACATTTCGTCCTCCCCAAATCGAAAGAAACAGGGATAATGTATGCCAGTGTATGAACTACGTCTGTTTGATGTACATGGTAGACGAAATCACATAATCACGCATTCCATCCCATTCCACCTGTGTGCCGTCACTTTAACTGGTCTGCATTGACAAATCGCACAAATGAGACTCGTCTGGGAGACTATGGTCAACCTGGCTGCCGGTCTATACAGGATCTATCCATGTTGTTACACGCGTCTCCAAAAGGGAGTTAGCACGCACCAAAACATGTTACCGGTCCATCTGATTAGCAAGTGTATCATCTGGTATCGAGTATCAAGCTTGGATTAGCTCATTCAATTGTTCAGGGGCATCAAGCACTCTTGATGGTCGGGGGTAAGGGTTTGAAGTCCCAACCCGACTGTTCGTGGTTGGAATCCTGACAGGGGCACAAAAAGTACGCACTACTTGCGAGTGCCAAAGAGGCCGAAACAGCTGTCCAGTGCTCTTCGTCGGTTATCACACACATTTCCATCGCATTTGTATCATCTGGTGATTTTGACGTTCACAGACGTTTTAATTGTGCCTTCATGTTTGCGATATGCAAGAAAATTAGTGGGAAAGTCTACCTGGAGCATCTAATTGCGTTTAGTCTTGTTCGGTAATCGATTCCCCTTCAAATATATACTGTCGTTGAATGAGACGTTGATGTGATAACTAAAGCAGTCAAATCAATCATGATATTTTTTTCAGGATGACCTTCGACTGCGTGAGGCATACCGTCTACTACAGGCAACCAGCCACATCCGTCTGCCACGACTCAGTACCGACGGCACTGGGTCGGGTTCATCCCCGACTGGTGCTAGTTCTTCTGGAACTGAGGGGTCGCGATTTAACGAACCGCGTTTGGAAATGCATTTAGCTGCTGCTGGAATTCGTGTTTGGGCCTCGGCCATTGGTCGCGGTATGCTTGGACTTGACAGCCTAATTGGATTCCGTATTCCTACCCAACTTCGTGTTCCACCAATTTGCTTGCGTGGGCGGGCGGTTTCCCCCAGCAGCGGACGTCGTGTCCTGGTGGATTTGGCTCGAGAATCCATAAGTACTCTAACCTCGGGCAATACAGCTCAGGGGCCAACTGGAACGGGGTTGCCGGACGTTGCATTGGATCTCGGTGATCGTCGTGTTGGCACCGGACTGCCTGGATTGATCCCCTCAGGTCCAGAGGTGGTCACTTCTTCTACCTCTGACGAATTGAACGATGCATCCAATCATCCTGGTAATTCCATGGCGTTAGCAATAGCTTCTGCTGTAGCGGCCAGTGGTGCTGGAGCTGCTCTTCGGGTAAGAAATACATTTAGCTTTAGTTACCATTTCCCCTGTTTGCGGTAATCCGCCTGACGATGTAAGTTAGATCCTAGTTCATGAGCAAAGTATCAGTTACCTGCCATCTATCCTGATTCTATTTTCCAGACGGCCGCCCTCAACCTCCCGAGAATGATACCTCGAAGCAATCTGGTAATGAGCTATTCCAGCATTCACCTGTCTTCGCTGAGCGCCAATGCGGCATCATCTACCGCATCCCTGTTAGCCACAGCGAACTTACAACAAACTCCTGCCGTTCTAGCTGCTAAGCACTGGCCTGACTTTCACAATGGGGTCGCTGTTGGCTTGAGTGTCTCACCTCATGCATCGGTAAGCCTACTTAGTTGATCAAGTTCAGTATACTTGTTTTCCGCTAGCTTCTCAACATGTTTGGAACGAGGTTATATTGAGATGAAGTTGTCACCGTTCTGACCGACTTTTATTGGTTTATCATGCAGTGCTTAATGGGGTTTGCACCAATCAACAGATGATCCTCCAGTGACACTACAGTGCACGGTCGATGTGTCAGTCATAGGTACTTTATATAGCACTTCTTGTTCAATAGTTTCACGTGAGCATAGG